CTGGGTGCTTCTTCGAATGAAAAGGATTAGTTCATTTCCAGTCTTCATCTTCATCTACCCCCACACTACCCCTACCCCTACCCCTACCCCCACCCTACTTCTCCCCAACCAACACGTATCTCTGCTTAATTAACTAACTACGGAGAAATGTAATGATAGAAATGAAATGAAACTTTGAATACGCATAATGAAAAAAGAAAGAGGAACGGGGAAGAAGGGGTTGGGAGAAGAACAAAAAAATATATTCACGCGAACTGTGTTTTTCGCATTCAGGTTTATTCGGGGGGAAATAATAATAATAATAATAAAAAAAAATAAAAAAATAGGTGAAGTTTTTCCTTGTGTCGAACAATGGGAACAAAACTCGATGATACGAAAATAAAAATGAATTTGGGAGAGAAAAGGATAGACAGATAGATAGATAGATAGATAGATAGATAGATAGATAGATAGATAGAAAAAAAAAATATATATATATATATAGGGGGATCGAAAAGTAAATCGAAATTTGTCTTTGCTGATGAAAAACATTTTATTTTAATGATTTATTATCGTTAAATTTCCATTTAAATAATTTAAATTTCCATTTAAATAATTTAAATTTCCATTATCGTCCAACGACAACTACGTGAGTCATTTTGCTATCGATAAAAATAAAATTCAACTTCACTTTTTTAATTCACTTTTGTCGGAGATATATATATATATATATATATATATATATATATATATATATATATATATATATATATATATATATATATGTTGCATTAGAATTCTTTTCGTATAATTTTTATAATAAGTCAATTTAAAGTTTGTTTAATTATTTTTTAGGATATTTTGCATAAATCTTTTCGAAAAATAAATTTGTAACACACGTAGTTTAATTATTAATTAATAATTATTAATTGATCGTTAATTGATAATTATTAAATGATTAATTGTTAATTCGATTAGCGCAGTAAGTAGTACAACTAAGTAAGTAATTCTACAGAAAGGCGCGAAATTCAAAAGTTATTATATATTATAGTTGTATATATTTAGTATATATTTTAGTTGTTACATTATATATATATATAAATACTAAATTATATACATTATATATAATACTATATACTATAACTATATATACTATATTATAATAACTAATACTATATACATAGATATATAATATAACAATAATACTATATATACAACTATATATATTATTTAACTTAGAGCAACTAAATATATATATATATATAACAATTTTTGAATTTCGCGCCATTCTTTTAAAAAATATATATAGAACAAACTAAAAAAAACAAAAAATGATATAAAAAGCACATAGAGAAGTTCAAGTTATGAGTAAGGACCTACACACACATACACATACACTCACATACTTTAAATGGCTTGTAGGACAGGTAAAAAAGAAGAGAGATAGATAGATAGATGGAAATAATAAAAGTAACAAAAAAAAAATGGAGGGTGGAAAAAGGAAAAGAGTAATGTGCTCAAAGTCGAAGAGTAAAGGTGTAAACGTATCGTCGCAAAGTAGAAGAAGAAGAAGAAGAAGAAGAAGAAGAAAAAGAGGAGGAGGATGAGGAGGTAGAAGTGGAGGAGGAGGAAGAAGAAGAAGACGAGAAAAAAAAGTATAGTACGAAACCTTTTTACCTTGTGAGGAGAAAGAAAGAGAGCCCCATTTTAGTTTGCTCCACGAAACTATTTTTCTCGACGAGTCGATAGCGTCGTGTAATGGGAACGGAGGAGAAAAAGGTGAGGATAAAGAAAGAAAGAGAAAGAAAGATAGAACAAGAAAAGGAAAGAGAGAGAGAGAGAGAAATAGAGGGAAAGACAAAGCTTGCCATCAAGCATGAATCCACCTCTATGTATATATGTATGTATGTATGTATGTATGTATGTATGTATATATGTATTACATATGTATGTAACGTGTATATATACGTATGTAAGGAAGAGAGAAAGAAATAGAGAAAAAAAAGGGAGAAATAGAAAAGAAGAAACATCGAATATCGAAGCGAGTCGTGGAAACTAAAGGGAACGACAGAATCGAACGACCTATCGACGAGCAATCTTCGTATAAATTCTTCAACAAAGAGAAGTAACGATAGTTGAAAGAGAAAGAAGAAGACAGGTAGACAGACAGATACACGAACAGAAAGAAAGAGAGAGAGAGAGAGAGAAATAAGGGAAGGGAAGAATAGGAAGAGGGGAGGAAAGGAGAACAATGAAAAGGATGAACCAAAACTATCTTCGTGCTCGATCGATAATAAAGGTTTTAGAAAGGAATTGATCGAGGTTGTAACACATTCTACAATTATAAATTTTCTTTCAAATGATTACAAAAAAAAAAAATGGAAGATGTTTATTAGGTGTACACCTAGGATAGTTCTGTCAGGTTTTTGACAAACACCGGGTGTTCAATTTTTCGTCTTTTGGGATAAGACATTTGTTATAAATACAATTGCAATTAATGCAGAATGAATAGAATGATCTACATTGGTGCTCATAATTATGAAAATTCATGTTTCAAGTCTGAAAGTTAGGTTAGGCCTACCGGAAAGTTCTGTCCGTTTCTGACAAACATCGGGTGTTCAATTTGTCTTTAGGGATCAGACATTTGAAGTGCAATATGCAAATTGTTATCACGTTTTGGGTAAGAAGTTATAAATAATGATAATAAATGAAAATTGATTACTTTTGTTTTATTCTAAAAAAAAAAAAAAAACGGACAGTACTTTCTGAACTCTTGAATGGACCTGTACTTTAACTTACTGGGCCCAATGCCGCAAATATGGCGGCAAGTACTGATTTATGAATTTTATTATACTGCGATTATTGTTGTTATATGTACTAGTCATTTTGGTGAATTTGTTTCTGCTTGTTATCTATGTTCCGTTATCTTTTACAGTTTCTATGTAAGTTTTATGTAATACTTCCGGACCATTAAGGATTATTACATCTCTTGTTTTGAGATATTCAAAAGAACATTTGGACACTAAAGATGTTTAAAAATATTATTTAAAAAAAGTAGATAAATGAGACGTATAGAATGATCTATATTTGTGCTTATAATTATGAAAACTAGTCTAAATAGTTTAAAAGTTAGGTTAGGTCTACCGGAAAGTTCAGTTTTTGTAAAACACCGGTGTTTAATTTGTCTTTAGGTATAAGACATTTTTTATAAATGCAAAATGAATAGAATGATCTCTATTTGTGCTTATAATTATGAAAATTAATCTAAAAGTTAGGTTAGGTTTACCGAAAAGTTCTGTCCGTTTCTAACACCGGTGTTTAATTTGTCTTTAGGTATAAGACATTTTTTATAAATGCAAAACAAATAGAATAATCTACATTTGTACTCATAATTATAAAAACTAATCTAAAAATTAGGTTAGGTCTATCAAAAAATTCAATCTTTTTCTAACAAACACACCGGTGTTTAATTTTTCATTAGATATAAGACATTTCAACTGCAATATACAAATTGTCATCACATTGTAGATAAGAAATTATAAATAATAATAATAATAAATGAAAATTAATGACTTTTGTTTAATTCTAAACAAAAATGTACGCTCTACTTTCCAATAAACCACCTAATAAAATACAAGTAAGGATAAAGAACACCTGTTAGATTAACATCTGTAAAATGTTTCACTTCCTCCCCCTCCTCTCTCACCTCTTTCCCTAGTTTCCAATTAAAGAATAATTAGGATCGAGGATAATATGAAGGAAATGAGAAACTAAATGAAGATATTTTGTGTCCTATTGAACAAGTCGGGTGGTGTGTATACGCCCACGGAAGGTTGAGAATTAAAAAGTGGTAGAACGTTCAAAGTGCATCGTGTGAAAGATAAAAAAAAAAAGAAAGAAAGAGAGAGAGAGAGAGAGAGAGAGAGAGAGAGAGAAATATATAAATGAAAAAGAGAAAAAAATAGAAAGAGAGAGAATGAGAGAGAGATATATAAATGGGATTTATTCGCGCGCTCTCGAAAGAGTTAAGGAGAAGAAAGAAGAGGAGGAGGAGGGGAGGGGTAGAAGGGGGGTAGTGGGGGGTGGGGCAATGTAATACCACGGATGAGAGGGAGATTCGTCCTCGTGCCACTATTGTAGGCTTTTACGCGAAAGAAACAAAGGTCCTTCTATCTAAAGATAAAAGAGAGAGACAGAGACAGACGAACTTAACATAAAGAAAGAAATAAAATAAAGAATGACAGAAAGATAGATAGTATATTATATAAAGAAAGAGAGAGAGAGAGAGAGAAAGAGGATAGCAACGGGGTTGGGTGGCACGTGATAGAAAGAAACATAGTCAAGGCCGTACTAAAATAAGCCATTTTTTGGTTGTTTGTTATAAAATAAAAAATGAAAAAAAAAAGAAAAAAAATGTGTATGAAGACATCACCGCGACATCTTCTACAAAAGCGGTACTCTGCCGAATATCTTTCGAAATTGATCGTGGGGCTCGTAACGCGCATACTCTCTCATTTACCAACGATGCGAATCTACTACTACTACTACTACTACTACTACTACTACTATTACTACTAACATATCCTATGTACGTGTGAACACGGATAAATGGACCTTTCCTTAGATCCCTAACATGCTGCTGTTAAAACAACAAATAAATAATGATGATAAAAATATGTGAAAATAAATTTGAAATGATTTTACAATTAAAATAATCATGATCGGTTATCGTTGTCATCATCGTTGTCATAGACGGTTCAATAATAATAATAATAATAATAATAATAATAATAAAAATTGGCGTGGCACGCACTTTAATCGCGAGGGTGCGTCCGACGTTCGTGTAATAAAAGATCGTTTTCGAGGAACATACACATATATACACACACACGCGCGTGAACAACACGCGGCGAGTAATATAAGAGAAAGAGAGAGATAAGATATATTAAGTGCAATAGAGAGAAAGAGATAGATAGATAAATACAGATAAAGAGGAGAAAGTAAATAAGTAAAGTACTCACTCACGTCACTTTTTGATATATCCTTGGTAAAGAGGGTAGAATTTGCGATGACGCTTGGATAACCCAAAGTGATTTAATAATATAATCCAATTCTGTCTTCCACACCTTGAGGATCGTTGGAGCGAAGTACGCTCGATAATGGCTGGCACACATAAGTAACACTAAGGATGCACCAACAACGGTGCTTATTTTCTTCTTCTTCTTCTTCTTGTTATTTTTTATTTATTTATTTTTTTTATTTTTACTCGCGCACTATTCACCGACAGACCGCGACGAATAAGACGAATAAACGTCCGAACGTTCTGCTCTGCTTTTTTTCTATCTCTCTCTCTCTCTCTCTCTCTTTCTGTCTTTCTTTCTGTCTATCTCTGTCTCTTTCTTTTTCTAGTAGCACCGATTCTATGTCTCTTTTTAGCAGGATACTTTTGATGAAAGAAGACTAGACCGGCAAGGATCCAAAGATAAAAAGGAAATAAAAGAAGGTCCTTTTATTCTTTCTCTATCCTAGGCCCACGGGTGGCCATTACGTTTCTCACATCGTCGTCGCTACCACCGTTGCGAGGGTACAAAGCGAGAGAGGGTGGCTGCTGCCTGGCTTCCTACTTGCTGTTGGCCGGGTGGGAGCGAGAGCGCAGACGGCACCGAACGACAGACCAAATGGGAGGGAGAGAAACATATACACACACACACACACACTATGAAGAGAGATGGAAAGAGCACGGTATAACTCCCTATTTCTTTCTTTCTCACTCACTCTCTGTCTCTTTCTCTGTCGCACTATTACGAACGAATATATACGAACGTACTCGACGCGCCCGCTACGAGAACGTGAGAGCGACTGGACTCTCGCAGCAACTTCGAGTGTCGGCTAATCGACCAATCGTTGAGCGCCTCCCACCCAAGCGCCATCTCGCCGCCGCACCGCTAGTCATTGGACAAAGAGAACTACGATTTCGGAAAGCCGACGGCAACCGAAACTTTTCTTTTCTGCCGCCTAAATATAATATCTCGTTGCTCTTATACTTTTGCTATCCTGTTCTTTCATTCTCTCTCTCACCATTTTTTTGTCTATCTGTTTATTTATCTATCATTTTCTCTCACACTTTTTCAAACTCTAGTCTATTTTAGTTTCTAAATCTTTCGTTTGACTTTAGTTTGAAAATTACAATTATTCCTCACTACATGGATATTACGATTAAAAGTACAATGATCTGTCCTATTTTAATCTATATTTATCTATTGGAAATTTTTAAACATTATTTAATAATACAATTGTTAAATTAAAAATCAAATTTGCAATATTAGTTCATTCGACGAACTATGTACTTTTTAATTTATTGTTTTATAAATATTATTTCGTTTTAAATATGATGTATTATTTCTTATTATTACAATAATTTTTAATTTTATTTCTATTATAACAATTACAAATTAAAAAATATATCACAGAAGAGTAAACGAATACCGGATGTACGAGTGGTGACATCTCATGAAATTTGACGAAAGTAACATTAAGGAAAAATCTATTTGTGATCGTTATTTCTTGTTAACCGTTGTAAGGAGAATAATAGTTTTAGTAAATGTTATAAATACATATATTTGTAAATTTGTATAATAAGTATTGTTTTATTATACGTAGTAAACGTAATAATTCTCTATTGTTCTACGTAGTAATATAACCTCATTGTTATCAGCAACATTTATATCATTTTCTATAACCATTAAAAAAACATAACATAACAAGTATTCAAAATGTTAGACAAGGATGATGTAGATAATGAAAAAATCAGAAAACACAAGGAACGTCTGAAACTAGCTTCCAAATTAGATGACGACTTGAATGAATTTATTGATTCATTAGAAAAGAAAACTTACACCGAAGGATGGACAGAAGAAACAATGTTGAAGGATCTGGACAGTCATCCGTTCTTCATGAAGAAATTACCAGATAGCGATGAACCATTGCATCCTCTTGTGGAAGGTTTGCAACAACTTAAATATTCAGAGGAGGAAAATACACCTGAAGGTTTGTAACATTTATTCAAATTGACAGTTAACATTGTTAATTGTTCAGACATTTGTATATACATGAATTAATCTTACTTTCTGCAGAATTAGCTCTGAGCTATAAAGAAGACGGAAACTTCCATTTCAAACATAAGAAATATCGTATGTCTATTATAAGTTATACGTTAGGTCTCAGGACCAAATGCAACGATCCCAAATTATCGGCAGCACTTTACAATAACAGAGCTGCAGCTCATTATATGCTTAAGAATTACCGGTATTGTTATATCTTTAGCGTTTTAACTACTTTCATCATCATCAAATAAAATACAATATAGAATAATTTGAGTATATTTTGTAGGTGTAGTTTAAATGACAGTAAACAAGCGATAAAATTGCAATCAAATTATGTTAAATCCTTGGAAAGAGCCGCGCATTGTTGCTTACAAATTAAAGATTTTGATCAGTGTGATGAACTATGCGATAGCATCCTAGAAATGTGTCCGACTAATAAAGAGATACTGAAATTAAAAACCAACGTTTTATTTGGACGAGTAAAATCATTGTTTATGAACAATCTATTTACAAAAATGCATAATATATATATATATCTATTTAAATAAACAATCAAATGTTGATATTATTAATTATTACTTTTATTTAAAATAGAGCGAGATGGAGAACAAAGCGAGAAAGGATAAAGCAAAGGAGATTAAACTTGCTCGAGAAGAAGAAAAATTATTATCAGTTATCAAGGATAAAGGTATCAAATTACAATTACTGGATGATGATAAAATTCCTAGATTGCAAGATTTGGAACCAACGGTACCTGCATTGATGCAAAACAAAGTACATCTTGATGGAAATAACAAACTTGTATGGCCAGTCATATTTTTGTATCCTGAATTTCAAGAAACTGATTTTGTACAAAATTTTCATGAAGATATTACGTAGGTTTTGATATCTAAATATATATATATATAGAAATGTTTGTATATTTTTCTGTTCTATTTGTATGATGTGTTTTTTTTTATAGTATAAAAGAACAACTGGAAGAATTATTTTCTTCTCCGGCAGAATGGGATGTTAATAATTTGTATGAGCCTGATAATGTATCCATATATTTTGAAGGAAAGGATGTAACTTCTTTGAATAAAGTTAACATTTCAGATACACTAGGAAACATATTAAAACATGAACAGTAAGTTGAAATAAAAATTGAAATTACATTGTATTTTTTTTTTTTTTTTTGCAATATTTGTTCTTTCATAAAATTGTATTAATACAATTTTCGTAGATTTTTGGTTCGTTGTGGAACACCATCTTTCTTGGTATTTGTAAAAGACAGTAAAGCTGAAGAACGATNATCGTTCTTCAGCTTTACTGTCTTTTACAAATACCAAGAAAGATGGTGTTCCACAACGAACCAAAAATCTACGAAAATTGTATTAATACAATTTTCGTAGATTTTTGGTTCGTTGTGGAACACCATCTTTCTTGGTATTTGTAAAAGACAGTAAAGCTGAAGAACGATATTTAAAAACTTATAATGTTAACGAATAGAGAAATGGACTGGTAAAGTAAATAAAAAACATTAATTGTTTCTTCTAATACATTTTGTATTTTTCTTTTGAAACTTGTTTTTTTTTTCGTGTTTTTTTTTTTTTTTTCATGATACAAATATTGAAATAAAAGAAATATCTGCAAAATGGATGATAGAATGAATTTGAAATATTTTCTTGTACCTTTTTTTTTTCCAAAAGGTCTGAACAAAAAAAAAAAAAAAGCTTTGAAAAGTATTTCACCTGAGACAAACTAAAAAGAAATAAATCTATCGAATTTATTAGATATAAATCTAACAAAACAAAAAAAACAAAAAAAACTAGATCTTTTTGAAAGAAAGAAGAAAAGAATTTGTATCAAATATAATACCTGTAACGCAAATAAATCCCAATAAAAAGTCAAAAGGAAAGTTTTCTTTCTTTTTTCTTATCTTTGAATTGAAAGAATAGAAATAGAGAAATAAAAGAAAAACAAGTCCAAAGTTACAAAAGAAAAAAAAATCAGCTGTAACAGTTAGAAAGAAAGGAAAGGAAAGGAAAGAAATAAAAAAGAAACATTGAAGTAAGGTGGTGCCCTCTGTAGCACCTGATGAAGGTACTTAGACACAGGTGAGCATAAAGAGAAAGAGCAACAGGACTTGGAAATTCAGTTCTCGACCTACACTTTGGTACGCGTATGCGCGTCTTCTTCGCGTTCGAGTTAAAAAAGAAGACGCCGTTGGTTTTTGAAAATTGAAGTTCATTTAACCGGCCTAATTCAAATTCATCAATTAGTGATTTAAATATAAGACAAAATTATTCGACAAATATAGAAGAAAGAGAAAGATCATTCGCGTATACCTTTTGCTTGATCGTCGAAGATTATTTTAGCAACAAGCAGGCAGCAGCTTAATTCAAAGAAGAGAAAGAGAAAGAGAAAGAGAGAGAAAAAGAGAAAAGAAAAGAGATTGTCGTGAAGTTGCATATATAGCGAAAGAACAAAAAAAACGGAGCGAGACGCAAAACGATGCTAAAACGATGCAGGCAATATAATTTATTCTTTTTTATTCATTTCTTCTTCATATCTCTCTCTCTCTCTCTCTTTCTATCATAATTATACCATTATCCTTCTCTGGACTCTAATAATCATATTTATTTCTTCCTTTCTTTATTCCTTCCATTAAAACACGTGGCTGCTTCCTTTGCTTTGTAATATTATTTCGTGTTCTCACGATATTTGTCTAAAATAATAATATTTAATGTTATTACACAATTTCTATATAACAAATAATTCATTATATTATTTATAACGTATAATTGTTGTAATGATAACAAATCAAATTAGATGTTTGATACATTTTTTGTTGTTGTTTTTTTTTTTTTAAATGATTAGAGATTAAAAATAATGGGTAATATTTTGAATAATTTTGTATATAATTTATATTAGAGTGGAAGGAACCATCCTGTTCAACACAACAAGGATGCCATATTGATTCGATGAGGATCACCATTGGAATTTCCTCTTGCGAAAAAATCAAATTCTTTTCAATTGCAATGCGAACTTACGACGATACGTGTAAGTAGAATATATTATTAATTATTTAGAAATAAAATTTTCCTTAATATATTATATTATTCTACTAAAGAGAGTCAAGTTAACAATTAAAAAAAAAGAAAATAATAATTTTCTTAATGTATATTATTCTACTGGAAGAGATTCAAGTTAACAATTAAAAAAAAAACAAATAATAATAATAATAATAATAATTTAATAAAAAAGAAAGTAAAGTCAGGCGAGATATAAAAAGGAAGGGAGAATTTTTTTTATTATTTTTATTATTTTTTTCTTTAGAAATTTGATACTCGATGTGGCTAAAGAGATGTAGAAATAAAAGACGATCGAATGGCGGGTTCGAATCATTTTTCAAATATTTTCTATCTCTCTTTTCATATATCCACTCTCTTTCTCTTTTTTTTTTTTTTTTTTTTTTCTACCCGCTAAAGTAACAAACGGTTAAAGATACATTTGATTATTTTTATTTTTTATTTTCAAACGAAAGATTTACAAAGTAAAAGTACGAAATGTGATTCTAACGGTGATTTTTTTTCCCCAACATATTCTTTCAGTTTTATCTCTTTTTCACTTTTTTTTTTTTTTTTATTTAGTTTAGTTCTTTTCCATTAAAAACACATGTTTGTTTTCGAACAGTGCATATAGAAGTTGAGAAGTATTTGCTTGTCCCCGAGGAAGTCGACGAGGTAAATACCTTTCTGTTGACGACAGGGAAGAGAATCGCGTGTCCTAGTTTTGTGAAACTCGATGGACCACACGATGCATCTATCTCTTTCTCTCACACACATATGTACCATGTATATACATTCACTGTATCATGATACGGTATCTTGAAGCTAGTGTTCAATATATTCTAGGTATACATGTTTTTATGTATGTGTGTGTGTACTCGAGGAAGAATTGCGTCACGCGTGCCACGCACTCTTCGCAAGAAGGATACAACACAGGAGCTAACCGGTTGTAACGGCGAGTCAATGTACAAGTATATATATATAAAAAAGAGAGAGAGAGAGAAAGAGAAAGAGAGTAGAAAATAAAATCTAAAATATCATCATCAACAAACGTCCCAACGTCTCATATTACGTTAACTTCTCAAACGAGAGATCACCTTCGCTCTACTAACCGAAGAAATGTCCGACCATTTGACACACATAATTCTTTTTGTTTTGGTTTATTTTGTTATATATATATACAGGTATTTTTGTTGTGTTATTATCCTTCCAAGCCTTCGTTCAGTTAGACGACTACTTTCCTTGCAATTAGACATTGTTTAACTCTGTTATTAAATATGTTTATTATCCGTACCTTTGTTTATTCAAAAAAAAAAAAGACACTAGTTCATTAACTTTGCAATACTTTGTAGAATTTATTTTTATTTGTTGCAGCAGTTGAAAGGACGAAACAGTTTAGGAGACAGGAAAGAGTGCGTTATCGAGGTGGACTTCAAAGTGTCCGGAAGTTGTATCGTTTGGTATCAGAAATATCAACGAGTGTATTAACAACATCTTCGTGATATATATATTTATATATCAAAACAATATTCTCATTTGAAGAAAATATTAATTAAAACCAAAAAAAAAAAAAATATTCGTGTGGTACGAACGAGTGTAAGGCACCTAGAAAGTGCCGATTATTTTTTGAAATCGTGGAAGGGAATAATCGAAAAACGGCGAACCATTACGGAGGTATTCAATACGCGAGCTCATACAGTAACGGTCGTACGGTAACGAGCTTGTATAACAACAATTGTTCTTCAACCACCACTTACGGTGGTTTTGTGCACCACCAACAACAACAACAACAACAACAGCAACAGTTGCAACAACATCAATATCAACAACAACAACAACAGATTCACGAAGATTATAGACCAATTTATTTTTATGTCGCTCAGCCGTACACTATACCGTATACGTTCGCGAAAAGACCGAGACAGAATTCATCTCTTCTTAGATCGGACAACAGGTCCAATTATCGTGTTAAATTTTCAAAAAAACTTCCCAACGTAGACTTCTCGCAAAAGGTTAAACAGGGTGAATTTTCGAAGAGTCTCAACCAAGTTCATTTTGCCGAGGGCCAGGACCAAGGTGTGCATTTATTTTATTCTTTAATCGATTAGAATCTAGTCTAGGGTTTTTTTCTTTTATTTTGGACATTATTAAAGTGTCCTCAATTAAAAAGGAAAGTACTCGATCCCACATGAATTATGGATGATAAAGGATGTAATTATCAAGAAGTTATTCTTAAATTAATCCATATATGGAAAAGTGTACTTTAGCGAGTTTGTTGAACTTTAGGATTGTGTTAGGAACTTGATGAAATTTAATCACCGTTCATTTGTTACTCGGTTACCGGCCACTCTGTAAAAGAGAGGAGGGAGTGTAAAGAAGCAACGATTGTCATTTCACTTTCAAAGCGCTTTCACACTGTCAACTTTTTCTAACAGACCGGATAATTGTTGCGAAAGCGGCGACATAGTTTCAGTAGGATCATTTAAATAGTTGACTATCGTCAGGACAAGTGTGGTATTCGGTTATATGTTCACACTTTTAATTGAAAATGCACATACATATATAAACTAAGAAAAATGTTGGTATTTTCTCTCCTTAAAGATATGCAACTTTCAGTTTTCAATCTGTATAAACTTTCTTCTAAGTAAAACAGGAGGAGGGGGGCGGGCAAAAAACAAAACAGTTGTCTATTTACAGTTTTGATGTTTTATAGGATTTCCGCATTTTTATAAACCTGGCCAGACACCGCGACATCCAAGAATGACGTCGATGTTTCGAAGGGGCACCATATTTGCAACATTCTTTCTTTCATTACTCGGTGGTGGATTGGTCTGTGCTGCATTAGTTACCCAACACTGGGTTGAGGCAAGACCCTGGAGGACACCGAATCCTCAAGAGAGTGCAGGAAGAGTCCATTTTGGTTTATTACAGGGTAAAAAGGAATTGAATGTTGCCTATGGTTGGAGAACTTATCACGTATCAGGTAAACAAAATGAAATCCTATTATTCAATTGAATTTCAACATAATTCAATGTTAATGTTTAATATTGCAGTACCTCAAATGTTAAGGCAAGATCCAACAGTGATGTCCTGGGGACTCTGGATGGGAACTTTAGTAGCAACTTCAGCTGCATTGATAACTGCTGCCTTTGCCGCACTTTTAGCTGTGCTAAATACGGCAACCTCACCAAGAGCTAAAGCTCTCTCTGTACCTGGAGTTTATTTTATAAACATTTTAGCATGTAAGTTTTAACAAAGTTTACATTATTCATGTAAATATTCCTTGTGGAACGACGTTGTATTTTCTTAAATTATACTTTTTTTTTTTTTTTAGTGATAATGTGTATAACAAGCGTTGGTACATGGTTAGCACAATATTACACTAGGTTGTACGTCAATGTCTTACCAAAAGAAGACATCGACAATATGTGGACCAGCGAAGGTTCCGCTGAACTTGGTTACTCATTCTGGTAAAAATCTTGTTTACAATTTATACAGTAAAAAACAAAAAATGCAAGCGTAATATTGTTTTTCTTTTGTAGGCTCGTTGCAAGTGCTGCTGTTGTGCATCTTATTAGTATCGCATTAGTTGGTTGGGGTTCTGGAAGAGAAAAGGACAACAATTTGGAACCAATTCCAGCATTGGAAGAAAAAACTGCTGCAGCAATAATGCTCTATTAAAATCAGGTTTCATTTTCAGTATTGAATACTGAATTATTTCAATATCTTTTGTTTAAAAGGGTAAATGAAAACAAGAATGGTGAGAGATTATCTAAAAAGCATTTTCAAAATTTTATTGCAAAAGTTCCTAAGAGTTAGGGTGGTATTTTTCTTGCCACGTGTAACACACACGTTAAAGAGATTATTATAATCGAAGTATAATAATAATAAGAATCATGCTTTTTTTTTTTTTGTATTTTTTAATTATATTTCTCCATGAGGCACATAATAAAGCCAATCTTGCCTGTTTAATAAAATTATTTGTTAAAGATTTAAAAAAAAAAAAAAAAGAAGAAAAAAAAAGATTGGTACTTTAGGGAATGATTTTTATACGAGACACACATGTTATTAATCAACATTGAATCCTGATTGACGAATTTACTGTTATCAGTAATCTAATTATACTCATACAATAATTTTAATTATAATTGCTTTCAATATGGAAAAGCTGACAACCGTAAATATTCGGTTAATAAAAAAGATTAATGACGAATGTTAGTATCTATATATCTATACATATATATATATATATATAGCTTTAATGTAATTCAATATGTGATCCTTTTTTTTATAAATGAATATAATATAGTTTATATATTAAAAAAAAAAAAAAAAAAACAAATTTAATACAAAATTATATTGTAAACTAATTGAATATAATTGAATAATTTTGTTTTGATTGATCATCAAAGAAAATTGAAATCATTTGGGCTGACGCAGTTATATATTTTTTTTATAATCTTAATCCTTTTTTTTTATTAATAAATTGCAATTGTACTAGTAGCAAAAGCACACAACTATTTTATTGAAATATTTTTGTTCTTGTCTTTAAAGAATAATACGATGCCGTCACATATGTTGTAAATAGACACACGAGGAAGATGAAACTTCTTTCGTTTTATCGATATATATATATATATTTATTATGCAATACCTCTAAGTGTTTTTTTTATTATTTTTTTTTTTTTTTATAGTATACTCTTTTTTTTCAGGCGTAACAATTATTGCATTTTTCATTCTAGTTAATACAAATACGACAATAAAGTTGTAGAGAAGTGTTACATAGGACTCTTATTTCTTCATCTTCATCTTCATCTTCATCTTCAGCTTCTTCTTCAGCTTCATCTTCTTCCTATATGTTTTTAAGAGGTTTCCCTTTTTTTTTTTTTAAAAGATTCATTATGTCGTTATTAATAATAAACGGCACAACATATATATATAGTCTCTCTTACAAGAGAGAGAAAGAGAGAGAGAGAAAGATAATTAAAATTTGATAAACTTAGTGTGTTAAATCTAAAAAATAAAACTTAGTAGTCTGAATTATTGGATTTTTTTTTGTTTTTTTTTTTCTTTCTTTTCTTTTCTTATGTTACATAAACATTTTATTCAAAGTTCTCTCCTTTATTATTATTTTATTATTATTATTATTATTATTATTATTATTATTATATATATATATTTATTTATAGATAGTTGATAATAGTAATTAAGGAAAGTATTTTTTTTTTTTTTTAATAATAGTACGAGTGTATGTATGTGTGTATGTATGATGTGCATTTTCTTTTTTTTTTTTGAGATATTAATTAATTCCCAATAAAATGAATTATTTTTTTTTCCCTCCTCCCCATTATTATTATTATTATTAATATAAAATATTATAAATAAGAAAGATAGAGAAATGGATTTGTCTGAAATCTTTTTCTTCTTCATTCATTCATTCATTTATTCATTTTCGTGTATCAAATCAAAACTGAGAGATATATTTCTTTTTTTTTTGGTTGACGATAGAAAAATTTGCGAATTTGATTAAAAACATTTTTTATATTTCACGTTGACTTTTTTTTGTTAAAAAAAAAAAAAAAAAATACTTGCAGATCTTATTCATCGTTTTCTTTTTTTCGATTTTTTTTTAGTTGTCTCTTTCATTCTATTTTTTTTTCTTTTATGTCTTGTGTATATTCGTAACATGATTATGATTGAATTCTTATAAGATTTGTTAAATGTTCTTGATGAAAAAATTCTCTCTGCAAGATCAAAATTCTTTTCTTTTTTTTTTTTTTTGTATTTCTGCACATCAATTCTAATAAAATATTATTTGTGTCTCGTTGCGATACGAAGCTAGTTATTTTTCTTTTTTTTTTTTCTTCAGTTTTCTTTTCAAAATTCCAATAATAATATACAATAAATATAATTCTACATAAAAAAAAAAAAAAACATTCGTAAAAAATACAATCCACTGTATTAAGTGAGATTTCAAAACAAACGTGTTGTTGTTCTTTGATTTCTATTTGAAATGAAATAAAAAAATTGTTGTGTAGATTGAAAAAAAAAAAAAAAAAAAATTAAAGAAAATAGGTTAGATTTGGATAAAATGAAGAAATAGATTGAGAGATAAAGATGATTTTTGTGAAAGAAATTAAATATAAAAAAAGAAAAAAGAAAATAACAATACAGTAATATTCAAACATAATATGAGCTTCGTATCGTATCAAAAATCTATGTGTATGTGTTGATGTCTTAGTTTTATGGATAATCGCTGTCAATGTTATCATTATCATCATCATCATCATCATTATCATCATTATCATCATCATTATCATTATCATCATAACCTCAGTTTATCTTCAACTCCGCCGGTCTACTTTTGTCCAATCATCGTCGTCTGGAAGCCGCTTTCTTTCCTCTTGTCTACTAATTGAAAGCATTTTTTTTGAAATGTCATTTCGCCATTTTGAATTATTATAGAAAACCCGCCCCATTTTAATCGACCATCTCGGAATCAATCAATTATTTTATATCAAAATGTTTCATTTTCTGATTTTTATCTCTGATAATGCATTTTATTAATCATTTTAGTATATATATTTAATATACTACTGTATAATTCAATACCATACAATACAGTTTGTATTATACTGTAGATATTATACTATACTATAGTATATTAATATAATATAAATATAATATACTATATATAGTATACTATACTATATATGTTTAATATACTACTGTATAATTCAATACTATACAATACAGTTTGTATTATACTGTAAATATTGTACTATACTACAGTATATTAATATAATATAAATATAATATACTATATATAGTATACTATACTATATATATTTAATATACTACCGTATAATTCAATACTATACAATACAGTTTGTATTATACTGTAAATATTGTACTATACTATAGTATATTAATATAATACAAATATAATATACTATATATATATATTTAATATACTACTGTATAATTCAATATTATACAATACAGTTTGGATTATACTGTAGATATTGTACTATATTATAGTATACTATACTATACTATACTATATATATATATATTTAATATACTACTGTATAATTCAATACTATACAATACAATTTGTATTATACTGTAGATATTGTACTATACTGTAGTATACTATACTATACTGTATATATATTTAATATACTACTGTATAATTCAATACTATACAATACAGTTTGTATTATACTGTAAATATTGTACTATACTATAGTATATTAATATAATATAAATATAATATACTATATAGTATAATATACGTATAACTATATATAATATAAGTATAACTATAACTTAGTCTATATATATTATACTGTAGTATATGATTATATATACTAAATTATATTTAATTAGTTAATTAAACAATTAATAAACTATAGTACATTATTATATATACTAAATTATATTTAATTAATATAAATTATTAATAGAGAGAGAGAGAGGGAGAGTATAATATACTATTAATTAGAGTATTAGTATATTAACTTTCCACTATTACAGTAAAACGTTATTTTACTGTACTTAACTTACTGTACTCAACGAATACATTTCATTATTCATACATTTACATTAATGTGAGAAATAAATTAAAAAAAAAAAAAAAAAAAAGAAACCGAGATGGTCGATAAGCGGACATTGATCTTAATTTATTCAATATATGAAACTAAACTAAATTTACCGTAGACTTATAATCTAATTATAAATGATGAACAATTATTCATTACACAATTTCATGAATATTCATTAATTCACATAATGAACTTTACTGCAAAATTTTATATACGATTAGGAGTTTCTTTGATTACATTTTGTTTTTCCCTTAAGGTATTTATATGAATAAAAAAGAAAAGAAATAAAATATTAACCCTTTGAACTCGAAAGGCGCCGAATCAGCGCCCGGCAGATTTAAATGGCAACTCGAGCGGCGCTGATACGGCGCCCAGCAGCTGATTTCAAGTCTTTTGTTAGTCTATTTGCTTATTTAAGATGTTTGATAAAATATTTCTTGTAAAATATACTTCAAGATAATACTTAAAGGGTTTAAAAAGGACTTTGAGGTTTACTCTGATCGTAATACACCTGGATAAACACCTAGGATGCATTTTGAGTATTGTTTTACGAAATATCATAACAAAGACTAATAACAGAGTATAATATTTCTCAAATTTGATTGTTTTTGATATTAAAAATAAATAAATTAGTAAAATTTGATTATTTGTATACGTTTGTTTGTTTATAAATGTCTTTAAAGTACATGTAAAATGTACTTCCCTTTCGAGTTGTTGGTTAGTGAAAGAGGCCTCAAGTGCAAAGGGTTAAAACAATTATAACAAAAATTCTATATAAAATCTTGCTTAAATGATAAAAAATAAAAAGAAAAAAAATTGTGAAATATATACTTTGTGTTGTTGTAACAATGCTTACTTATCATCTTGACGTCTTGGTGGTGGATCTTGAGGATCTTGAGCCGTGGAATCCCTGCTACGCCAATCCATCATATCATTACTACGACTTGTATCGTTTTGCCGGTAGGTACGACGAGGTCGTGCACTTTCGGTATTACTAAGAATAACTCGTGACTAAAATAACAATAGTAGTGATGTTAATTGACAATGTTACAGCAATAAAATAACATAATTATCTAACAATTATAAACCACCATTACAACACAATATATTTATCTTACCATTCCACGATCTCGGAAACCACCTTTCTCAGGTCCTTTATCTAATCTATCCCTGTCGCTCATATCTCTATCAAAATCATCTTTCCTCCTTTCTTTCCTCCATTTGTCCGAATCCCAGTTTCTTAATCTGGAATCGTCGTTTCTTTCAACTTGAGCAGAAGAACGCCAGTTTGAAATTTCACCAGCTACAATAACAATAAAAAGAAAAAAAATGTTATAGGATTAATCAAATTGTACAATTTTGTATATATAAAGAAAAAGAAACAATTACCTGGCCTACTGAAACTGTCTCTAGCTGGAGGACGATAACGATCATCAGGTCTTCGTTTGGATAATAAATCTTTTTGTTCCTTTTGTTTCTGTTCCTCCATACGACGTTCAATTGAAGCTTCCCGAGCTCTAGCAATTTCTGATTGTTTTTCAATTTTAGCCATACGTTCAGCTTTCCTTGCTTCTTCCTCAGCACGTTTCTTACGTTCCTCTTCTTCCCTCTTAGCTTTCTCTTCTTCCAAACGTTTCTTTTCTTCTTCTTGTTTGATACGCAATTCCTCGAGGCGTCTTCTTTCAGCAGCCTCAGCACGTTCCTTCTCCCATTTCATCTTACGTTCAGCTTTACGTTCCATTTTACGTTTGAGCAATCTCTTGGCACGTTCCTCGTTCAACATCTTTTCAAATTCTTTTAATTTCTCCATGTAATGACTCTTACGTTCAGCTAAAATCTTAGCTAAGAAGGTGTCATGATCTTCTTTCATTCTTGCCATGCGTTCCCTGGTTGCTACAGCTTGTTGTCTTTCTTCAATGGCTGCTGCAATACGTTCAGCTTCCTGTTGTTCCCAACGTTTCTTTGCCAATTCCATTTTATCTTCCACTGCTTTCTCCAACAATGGTATCTCTTCAAGACGTTTAGCACGTTCCAAATAATCGATCTTTTTCTCTTGAGATTTCAACTTTTGTTGCATCTCTCTACGTTCCTTCTGCAATTCTTCAGCTTCACGTGCTGCTATCTGCTCGGCGTCAAGCTTTTTAATCTCATCTTCGTCGAGTTTCTTCAATACCTTTTGACCATGACTCGTCTGCGAAATCTGTTGCATTTTCTCTTTGAGATGTCGATCCTTTATTTGTTGAATCTCACTTTGTTGACGTTTACGTTCACGTTCCTCGCGTTCTTGTTCGAGTCTCTTTTGTTCAGCTAATATTTGCTGACGTTGTAATTCCTCTTGACGTCTCATTTCTTCTTCTTCACGTACCGTGTTTATATGCTCGATGTATTCCTTTCTTTCCTCTATGATCTTGTGTCTACCTAAAATCCTTTGATGTTCCTTCATCTTGGTTTCGTGATAATGATTAACCATAGCACCGCGAAGCTTCTCGCGTTCGAACTTTTTCTTGTTAGGATTGATCACATTGATTGCGCGATGAAGAACAGTTGCCATGTTGACCAATTGACAACGAATCTGTTCTGATGGCATTGCTTGTAAAACTGGACCATCAGGATGGTCTTCTCTTTGTGCTTCAGAAAGATCAACCCCAAAGTGTACGCATTGTTTCCCATGATCAATTCTTATCTGCATATCGTTGTAACGAACGCAATCGACCAGAAGTCTTTCCAAATGGAAATTAGTTGCAAACTTGGCAAGTTCCAGCAATCTATCGAATTGTATAGTCTGATAAACCTGAGATATTTGATGAACTAAACGTACAAGTGTAACGTCCTGTAAAGCAGGAATATATTGCGTCAAAGGACTATTCTCATCAGCTTGCAACGTTTGAATGACTGAATCTACTCTGCTACAAAGTTCCAAAGGATGAAATTCAACTTCTAGCCATGAATATAATTCCTGTAGTTGGCTTGAGGCTAAATTGACGATATTCAATCGGACAATGTCTTTCAATAAGGAAACTCGCGTTGGTGGTTGTGTCAATCCTAAAAGTGTTGCGAGCTTTTGTGCTTTCTCCAAAGGACTTTTATCCGTTTCGATAAAACGATCAAATTCAGGATGGGCCGATGGCAATGGTATTGACAAGGTTGCCAACAATACTCGATTAGCCATTCGTTGTTGTTCCTCTGACGACATATTCTTTTTCATATCACGTGACAACTGTAATAGTTTAAAGAGTGCTGCTGCATGGAACAGATAATTACCAGCCTTCCAAAATACCATAGCTAATTTTTGATAATAATTAGCCATTGTTTTAGGAACTGGTGATTTCTTGGATAGATTCATCATACCGTGAACATCCTCTGACGATTTGAATGCTTCTTGCCAAAGTTCCATTTGAATAGCTGAATCTAATTGATTCAATCGCGTTTCCAAATTCAATTGTTGAGTTTCAGCTTTGTTCATGGATACATTAGAAACTAATTGAGGAAGTTTACATATTTCCTCTAAATGTTTTCGCAATTTTTCGCATAACTTTCGAAATTCAGTCTTACGAGTATATTCCAGACAAAATTGGAAGGCCATACGTGCTATATCGTGATACAAACTTTCTACGTGTGCATTAGTTCTCAACAATTCTAAACATTGGCAGTACGATTCCCATAAAAATTTCACCCAAGGGGTAAGAATTGTTCGGTCGCTTCTATCCTGTGCATCCTCACCACTAACAGCTGAAAGTAAAATACTCTCAGGTGTTGCAAGATTATCTAAATCGTCGATATCAATGACCGCTTGTTGACTTTGTTTTCTTGCAGCATTAGTTTTCTCTTCTGCCATACGTAAATAACCACGAATGACATTTTCTAAACTTCCAACGTTAACCGATTGAAACATGTTACGGTACTGGAAAAGCCCTTCTTTCGCAATATGCGATTTCTTTAATTCTACGCATAGGTCTAAGTACTTGAACATTATTGGTTCCAGTACGGATTCTGACCAATTGTACGTCCATTTTTTATTTCGGAAGACTTCTTGCAAAGTGTCCAAAGCTCTGGCCGATTTGCCAACCTCAATGAATTCTGTTTAAAAATACAAAATCAAATGAAATTCATTATTCTTGCCAATTAGATTAAAATAACATCCTTTTATTTATTAAATTAAATATATAGAAACAATTAAGTATAAATTTTGTTCATTACATAACACAGATTATATAAATATAAAGCATTGTATGATTAATACTATAGAATATTTTTATTATGCATTCTATGTGTTAGTAATACATGTATACATATATATATATATACACCTATATGAATGTGTGTGTAACATTTGATGTCTCATGACACATATACAACATATACATGTGTATATGTATACACATAGAATTTGGCACAAATACAATAAAATGAACAAAGTATTTAATAAATAATTAAGTATATATATATATATATATATGATGAACAATCAATTCTGACATAAAGAATTAAAGCATGCTTTCAATTGAAATGTCTGCCATTTGAATTCCAATATATAGAAACACAAAAATGTCAATTAATTCATTTCATGTTATCAAAGTGTCATTTGAATAAAAAAAAAAATAAGGTTAGAAAAAATGTATAATAATTTTGTAAATGTTCTTCTATCAAAAGTCACGTTGCATATGTTGAAGACAGTACAGAACGTTAACATATTAATTGAAATTAAAAACACATTGAATAATTTACAATAATTTTAATAAAAATAATAAAAATATTGAATGTTAAATATTAGGAGGGAAAAAAATGTATTGATAAAAAATAAAGTAAAAGTTAAATTTTTTGTGCAGGTTAAATAAAGTTATCAGCCATGTCATGTCTTTCCATGATAAAAAGAGTTACATACCGTTTGCCCTTTTCAGAGCATTTTCGGGTCTTTGCCCATATCGCGCCATTTTTTCACTTTATATTTGTTTCAAACGTATATCATAAACACTTTTTTTATTAATAATTCACAAAATTATTTTGCATTTACGGTCAAAAGTACAAGTTGTACAAAGGCGTAACGGTTTTTACCAAGCCCCTTGATCGCGTGTTCCGGATGAGAGACATGAGCTAGACAAAAAAAATAGCTTCCTGTACTATGGGAGTCAAATCAAATTCCACTATTTTTTTATCTTATTAAAATAAAATATAATAATCTTTGATATATCTCAAATAAATATGATTAACTTAATAGTTAAATAAATATATTAATTATTATTGTTAACAAAAACATTATCAATATATTCAATTTTCATTTTAATCACATAAGTCTACACTGATTGGACAATTCGATTCTTCTCAGCGAATCATAATCGTAGAATAAGAATTTAATCGTCCAATCGTAATACACTTAAAGCGCATACACAACATTTTTATTTGTGAATTATTTTAATTTTTCTTATTATAGAAATATTAGTTTTACTAAAATAATTTTAGATAATTAATTACAAAAGAAAGATTCAAAATAATTGTAAACTGGAAGGAAGGATTAATGCAAGATTCTTATTGGTGCGTCAAGCAGACCAATCGGCTGTCGTGTGACTTGTCGATTAGCCTTGCTTACGATGACGTCACAACATGGTATCGACGAGTGTCAAGTAGAAAAAAGTGTTGATCAGTGAAAGATTTTCGTTTAAAGTTTATCGTCTTTGTATAATTAATCGTTAATTTACAATTAATGCGTTAAATAATAGCATAATTATTATACTTATATATATATCTATAAAATTTACGATTAATATTACAATATTATTATTATAGTCAAGATTTTTCTTATAGAAGAAAAACAAGATGGACGAGGTTACAAAGTTGGAACATTTGTCTTTGGTATCAAAGATTTGTACAGAATTAGAAAATCATTTAGGTTTAAATGATAAAGATTTAGCCGAATTTATAATACATTTGTCAGAAGAAAATAATACATTTGAAACATTTAAAAAAGTATTGATCGAAAATGGTGCCGAATTTTCCGACTCGTTCATAGCAAATTTACTTAGGATAATACAACACATGAAACCATCAGCTCCTACTAACAAATCATCGTTAGTTAATTCATGTAAACAAGATGAATTAGCACAAAAATTTCCTGTATTGGCTTTACCGAATGATATACCAACTAAATCTGTTCAAGAAAGTGAAAAAAGTGATAAAGAAATAGTTAACGACGTGTTAGCATCATTAGAAGCATTAGCACCGTCTAACCTCAAAAATCACGAAAATGGAAAGAAGGATGATCACAAACGAAATAAACGGAATAGTAAAGACAAAGATTCGGAAAAGAGTAGGGAAAAGAAAAGACATAGATCTAGATCAAATGATAGAAAGGATAAAAGACGTAGATCAAGATCTAGAAATCGTTCTAGATCAAGAAATCGTTCTAGATCGAAGGAAAGAGAACATGGTAGAAGACGCAGAAGAAGATCAAGATCATCAAGCAGAACTTCAAGATCACATGGTTACAAAGATTCGAAGAATTCAAGGAATCGTGACAGATCTAGGTCAAAGTCTTTGGAAGAACTTTCAGTAGAACCAGAAGTTGGTCAGATTTATACAGGAAAGGTAGCCAATATAGTACCATTTGGTTGTTTCGTTCAATTGGAAGGTTTGCGACGTAGATGGGAAGGTTTGGTACATATTTCACAATTACGTAGAGAAGGTAGAGTGGCTAGTGCAAGTGACGTTGTAACCAGAGGTCAAAAAGTTCTTGTTAAAGTATTAAACGTTGGTGGACAAAAAGTTTCATTAAGTATGAAAGATGTTGATCAAGAAACAGGTAGAGATTTGAATCCCGTAGTAGCAGTTAATAAAATCGAAGAAGATGAGAAATATTTGCGAAATCCAGATCGTCCTGCATCATTATTAGAAATTCAAGGTACGTGGGATGAAGATGAGACATATTCCAGAAAACGTGTGCAAAGATTGTCTTCTCCTGAGAAATGGGAGATTAAACAGATGCATGCTGCATCGTGTATTGACAGAAGTGAATTACCAGAATTTGATATGGAAACTGGGGTTTTACCTAGGGAAGATGACGAAGAGGAAGATGTTGAAATAGAATTGGTGGAAGAAGAACCACCATTTTTACATGGCCATGGAAGAGCACTTGGAGATTTAAGTCCTGTACGTATTGTCAAAAATCCTGATGGTTCTTTAGCTCAAGCTGCTATGATGCAAAGTGCTTTAGCAAAAGAAAGGAGGGAACAAAAAATGTTACAGCGAGAACAGGAAATGGATTCTGTACCAACCGGTATTAATAAAAATTGGATTGATCCATTACCAGATGCTGAAAGTAGAACACTCGTTGCCAATATGCGTGGAATTGGTATGCAAACGCAAGATCTACCTGAATGGAAGAAACATGTGATTGGAGGAAAGAAATCTTCATTTGGAAAGAAAACTAATTTGACTTTATTAGAACAACGTCAAACCTTACCAATATACAAACTTAGAGATGATTTAATAAAGGCTGTAACTGATAATCAAATTTTAATCGTCATCGGTGAAACTGGTTCTGGAAAGACAACTCAAATAACTCAATACTTAGCGGAAACTGGATTCACAGCTCGTGGTAAAATTGGTTGTACACAACCTAGAAGAATTTCAGCCATGTCTGTTGCTAAAAGAGTAGCAGAAGAGTTTGGTTGTCGTTTAGGACAAGAAGTTGGTTATACAATTCGATTTGAAGATTGTACTGGTCCAGAAACAAGTATTAAATACATGACAGATGGTATGTTACTCAGAGAATGTCTTATGGATTTAGATTTAAAAACATATTCTGTAATAATGTTGGATGAGGCACATGAAAGAACAATTCATACTGATGTTTTATTTGGATTACTTAAACAAGCAGTAGGTAAAAGACCTGATTTGAAATTAATAGTAACCAGTGCTACCCTTGACGCTGTCAAATTCTCTCAGTACTTCTTCGAAGCACCAATTTTTACCATTCCTGGAAGAACATTTGAAGTTGAAGTAATGTACACGAAAGAACCAGAGACAGATTATTTGGATGCTGCACTTATAACTGTAATGCAAATACATTTACGTGAACCACCTGGTGATATACTTCTGTTTTTAACTGGTCAAGAGGAAATTGATACTGCATGTGAGATTTTATATGAACGTATGAAATCATTGGGTCCTGATGTTCCTGAATTAATAATCCTACCAGTTTATTCAGCATTACCTTCTGAAATGCAAACAAGAATTTTTGAACCAGCACCACCAGGTTCACGTAAAGTTGTTATTGCTACGAACATTGCTGAAACGAGTTTAACCATCGATGGAATTTATTATGTGGTAGATCCAGGCTTTGTCAAACAAAAGGTTTACAATTCTAAAACTGGTATGGATAGTCTTATAGTAACTCCTATAAGTCAAGCCGCTGCAAAACAACGCACAGGTCGTGCGGGTCGTTTAGGACCTGGCAAATGTTACAGACTTTATACAGAAAGAGCATATAGAGATGAAATGTTACCAACACCTGTACCAGAAATTCAAAGAACAAATTTAGCAACCACAGTATTACAATTAAAAACCATGGGAATCAATGATTTATTACATTTTGATTTTATGGACGCACCACCAGTAGAATCGCTTATTATGGCTTTAGAATCTTTACATAGTTTAAGTGCTTTAGATAATGAAGGTTTATTAACACGTCTTGGAAGACGCATGGCTGAATTTCCTTTAGAACCTAATTTATCCAAAATGTTAATCATGAGCGTTCACCTTCAATGTTCAGACGAAATATTAACCATAGTTAGCATGTTATCCGTACAAAATGTTTTCTATAGGCCAAAGGATAAACAAGCTTTGGCAGATCAGAAAAAAGCTAAGTTCAATCAAGCCGAAGGTGATCATTTAACATTGTTGGCAGTTTATAATTCTTGGAGAAACAACAAGTTCAGTAATGCATGGTGTTATGAAAATTTCGTTCAAATGAGAACATTGAAGAGAGCACAAGATGTACGTAAACAATTATTAGGTATAATGGATAGACATAAATTGGATGTAGTATCAGCAGGAAAGAATACTGTAAGAATACAAAAAGCAGTATGTTCTGGGTTCTTCAGAAATGCTGCTAAAAAGGATCCTCAAGAAGGTTACAGAACATTGGTTGATAGTCAAGTTGTTTACATTCATCCTAGCAGTGCATTATTTAACAGACAACCTGAATGGGTTATTTATCACGAGTTAGTACAAACTACTAAAGAATATATGAGAGAAGTAACAACTATTGATCCTAAATGGTTGGTAGAATTTGCACCAGCATTTTTCAAATTTAGCGATCCAACTAAACTCAGTAAATTCAAAAAGAATCAAAGACTTGAACCGTTGTATAACAAATATGAAGAACCTAATGCTTGGCGAATATCTCGAGTTCGTAGAAGACGTAATTAAATTTCATTATTCATTCATATGAATCAACAGTTTCATCGTTACATTGAAAAAACTGAATCATTGAAGTTAAATATTAAAAAGGAGACCGAAAAGTAATGTAAACAAATTAAACATTTGCATATACCAGATAGAAAAAGGATTGTTAATAACTCGATTAATTATACAAATTTGTTTGTTTGTAATTTTCAAGTTAAAAAGCTACATTACTTTACAGTCCATCTAATAATTAGTTTTTAAATAATTGGACTGTTTTCAAACACTGTTATTGACTGAAAGGTGTGGAAAAATGTTACAGTTTCTCCAATATATATATATATTGAATAAATGATTTGTAAATAAATACTTTTATACAGCATTAAATGATGATTGCTATTAGAATGTTCAGATATATGATGATGAATTTATAATATATATTTCTGAACACATTTGTATGTATATTTATTACATAACACGACATATATATATATAAACTGTAATTATACAATGTAAAAGATAAATGTATATATTTCAAATATACTCATATACGTGTTTAATTGTCCAATAATATGTAATAATTATTTCATAAATAATAATAATAATAATAATAATAAACAAATTTTGTATGTTTACAAATTGTGTAGGGACAGTAAATCACTTTTTATTTTTTATATCATAATAATGTTTAATTAATTAAATCACACGTATAATGAATTTATTATATATATATGTACATATGTACACATTTTATAAGACATTAATAATTATTCTTTGTTTGTGTTTGTTTTTATTTTTATTTTTAAAACAGAAAGATTTAGATTACTCAAGTTAAATTGAAAATATAGGAATATATATGTTTTAACTGTATATATATATATATCTCTCTTCAGTCTCTTTCTCTTAACGAATTATTAAATTTATTAAATAAATACATTGTTGGTATCAATGGAACGGTTTAAAGATATCTTGCCAAAAAAGGAAGATGATCATCATTTTATATGATTGTGTAATTAGTGTTTACAATTATTTAGATTTAATTCAATGTGTTCTTTTGTATCACCACCTCATTGGATAAACTGGACTGTATCTTGTATAAAAAAAAAAGAAAAAAAAAACGGAATAACATTTGAGTAACAATTATTTCCAATGCTCGTGTTTCATACATTGCATTCTTTTTTTTCTCTCCAACTATTTGACGAAATTAAAGAAAAAAACAAAACAAAACAAAAACTATTATCATAAATAAATTTCGAGAACATTTCACCTTTTTCTTTTATCCATTTTCTTGTTCACAACGATAATAACAAATCAAATTATACACTTGATAAAAGAATGAAGAATATGTGTGTATATGTTTTTTTTTTATAAAACAAGTCACGAATGTTGCTTTTTTTTAATTAATTCAACTAGTTGTCGATATCTTGTTTGACATTCCTCCTATAAACACACACAATGATATATATATTAATTATTAATATATTAAATTTAATAAGAGAAATTTTGGTAATAGATAAATTAATAATCAAACCTTTGTTTTTCCTTCAACACATGCAGCAATTTTTTCCCATCTATCAATGGACGCTCCTTTAGGATATTTTATAAGTGCTGATTCTAATGCTTTCTGTTGTTCTTGACTCCAATCGATATTAGTGTTATCAGAATTTTCATTACGTGTCTTCACTTTTTTCGGTTTATCCATTCCAGTATCTTCTGTACATTCACCAGGCTTTAATCCTTCATCTTTGATCTGTAAGTAGATGTAACCAAATTCATTCAGTTAATTATTATCTTTCTTTAAATGAATAGTTTAACCCTTAAAGTGCACTGTGGGTGTTTGACACCCCCAACGTGTTTGAACGCGTCTCCTGAAGCTGCTATTTAATATTTAGACTCCGCCATTTTTTTTAAATAGTTTAATACATCTTTTTTAAAATAGAATAGATTTTAATACTCATCTGAATTAATATTAGATGGCATTAGACAAATAATCCAATTTTTTCGAATACATTACCATTTTCGAGAGATCACAAATTTGTTGGGGTGTCCAACACCCCATGTACACTTTAAGGGTTAAATATATTGATAGATTAATATAATATATAGATGTGTGATAATAATAATAGAAAGTAATGTCGTTTCTATATATGTATATTTTAATATTTTAATTAAAAACCCATTGATTTAGATCAATCCAATATAAAATTTGCAAGCTTGTTGTGATACCAAAGTGTGATTGTATATTATTCATTTATAATATAAAAATGAGTTAAAATGTAATTCTAATTTTAGGGTAGAAAACGACATTACTTTCATGTTCATTTAACCCTTTCGCTACGGTGGGCCTCGCCGCGAAGTACCTCGTCTAGAACGGAGCGCCGTACCGAAAGTGGGAACATTAAGCGCGCGCAGTCTTTAGCATTCGGAGCCTTTTGTCTCAAAAACGACTTTGTGACATTACTTTTAGAAACAAAATGATTTGTGTTCATAATTATGTGACTATAGTCACCCGTAGTAGTGAAAGGGTTAATATAAATATATATATATATGAGATATACTTTTTTAGCCATGTGTGTAACTTCTCCAACAGTACGATTCATAGTATCAGCAATTTTTTCCCATCTCTCTGGCGTACCACCAGGATATTTTTTAACAAGCTTGATTAATTCCATGACATCATCATCTGTCCATAATCCACCGGTTATTGTTGGTTTATCATAACTGTTATTAGTTGTTGTATCATTAGTTTCTTTTTTTGTGAAAACTTTTGAATGATTGCTATCATTTCTTTCTTGTAAAGGAAATCCTGTTTTTCTTCTTCTAGGACCACGCGGTGTTATTTCTGGTTCTGCTTGTTCATTTTCTTGTGCTCTACGATTACAAACAATTCATAAAATGATAAATATAAATGAACAACTTGTATATATATATATATTTGTTGTTTTTGAGAGACTCACAATGCTTCCTCTTCTTCTTCCTTTTTCCTACGTTTTCTTTCTTCTATACTTTCATTAATAGCACGAATAAGTGATGGTACAGAAACAACTGATGCAATTGTCCATCTAGGCATTTGAAATGGAAGAGTATTCCATATACTCGGTGTTGGTATCTTTTCCAATATGTCTGCCAAATCTGGCACATCCATTTTACCCTTTCGATTTTTTTTCTGCAATTTTTGAAGCTTACTACCCAAAACTTGTTCCTGTAATTAATTTTCATTTATTTTTAGAATTCATTAAAAGTAGGAACGATATACAGGGTGTTTCAAAGTTTCTTTTTTTTAGGTCAAACTGTGTTAACACAAACATCTGACACTGTATAATAGTTGATATTTTATATATATATATATATACATACTTACATAAGTATACCTCTTTTCAAAATATGCAGCCCATGCTAATAAATATTGTCCAATCGTAATCAATAGAAATAATATAACACTCATTTCCATCAATCCCATTTTTCTTACATGTCGATAATAATATACAGCTGACCGCCAATTTGGCAAGCCATTAACAAGAACATTGTCATACTTCTGTCGTTTTCCAGGATCCCTTAAGACATCGTATACTGCAACTAACTGTATAAAACGTTCAATGTATTGTACAAATATTTGCAATATATATTTTTTTTAATTTAATCTTGAAAATAAAATTAAATTTACTTTTCTAAATTGTTCTTCCGCATTGTCGGCAGCATTTTTATCTGGATGAAGTTGAAGGGATAATCTTCTAAATGCTTTTTTAATCTCTGAGGCATTTGCCACCTAATTGTAATAATAAATAATAAAACGTTAAATATAGAATATATATATTATTTCATTGAATAATTATAAATTTGTACAATTATACAAAATAGAATTAAAAATTTACAGTTTTACCTGAGATAAACCCATGAGTTCATAGAAATTTTGATTAACTTCTTCGACGACATCGAACACTTCCAATTCATCATTGTCCCACGCAACAGATAATGTAAAAAAATCCAAAAATTGTACAACACCAAGAAATATTAAAACTACTCTCATGTTCAATATTTAAATAGACGCATAGTTGCTACTGTCATCCATATATAGTTGTTGGCAATGATTACCAACAAGAATTAGTATATTGTCTGTAAAATTTCAATAGTTACAATTAATTATGATGAATAATTTATAAATGATATTTTTTTTTTTTTGAAAAATATGTGACAGTATTTCAAATATGATTGCAAATAAAAGATGCATATTATGTTTAGATAAAAAGAAAAAAGAACGTACTTAGTAAATAGAAATAGGCAGTTAATGGTGTTATACTTTTTAATTAGGTTCTTTCTTATGAATTATTTTGATGAACCAACGGAGAACCATCAAACAATGCCACGTTCTCTCTTTGCAACACTTATTACTTCTTAGAAAATAATCAACCATGTGCCATAATTAGATAGAAAACTAAGATATGCATGTAGAATAACGATATTTAAGCGGTTCGTATCAAAGTGTCGCCTTTCTTCTGCATTCTAATTTATTTCAACTATTCAATCATTTTTTTTCTAATCAATCGATTATATAGAAAACTGTCTTACCGACGCACCACTCGCTTATGTAGACAAATGTTTTATCGATGCAAGCAACAGTCGCTTTTGTAGAAAAATGTTTTACCGACTTATTGGTCGGTAATTTTTGAAAACTGTTTTACCGACTTATCGGTCGGTAAAATTTAATTAAATAAAATATTTTTTTTTTTTTAAATATTTGAAAATCGTGAAATAGATATGCAATTCATTATGGATATTTGGTATAAATACTAAAAATAAAATTAATAAATAATTTATGTGAAATTTAAAAAAAAATTAAATATGACAGAAAGACAATTGCAGTTTTTGTTAATCGTGTTGTTAATTTGGACATTTCACGAGGCATCAGAAGTGATGAACAACATAAAAAAATAATAATCTATAGTTTGGAAAGGTTAAAGTTCGTACTCATGGATAACATCAAAAGTAAGAATAATTTATTGTAAAATAAAAATAATTAAAACTAATAAATATAATGTGATGTGCGTGTGTAATAGATATCAATTTAAATTGGATCATTTTGAACGAAATAAAATGATAGATGAAAAAGAAACAGAATGTGTCTACGAGAATAGAAAAATTAAAAAGATTCCTTTCGAAATTTAAATCCAAATTGATCGCATTTGTGTCGAAGAATCTTCGCGAGTTGTGGTGGACCGCAATAAAATACGGTAATTTTGCCTTTTTTTTTATCTTGCAATTGATTGAACACTTTGTTCCAATTTGGACGGCCCGCATTTGTTCTTGTTTTTAATCCCGTTATGAGATCACGTTTTTCCTGATTAATTAATAAACAATATCAATAAAGAAAAATCATTCAATTGTATTGAAATTATATTAAAAAAAAACAAAAAACAAAAAAAAAACCAGCACTGAAACCTTTTCGTGAAGTAAATCCATGGCCATTTGTAAACCTACAGCCTTCATGTCGTTTCTTTGTAATGCACTCGTAATATACATGTACATTTCGAGAAAAGGTTCCACTGCGTTTCCTAATTCAGCTTGTTCCATTTCAAGTTGAGATAGCAAGTTGACGAACCATTCGAAAGAATGTTGATCACGATTAATCCAAAAGAAATCAACCTGAAAAAACAAATTCAGATGAATTTTTAAACAATTTTTCATTCATGTTAATCCAATGTTAATTCACCTTTCGTAGATGCATAATGGTAGGTGGTATTTCATTGGCCCAAGAATATTGACAATTGGGACAAGTTTGTCTGGCTTCCCAATATCGATGCATAATCGATCGTAGAATCGATGCGAAAGGTGTTACACCGATACCTGTTGCAATTAATACCGCGTGTTGTGCTTGGAATATGTGACTCGATGGTGCACCATATGGACCATCTAAAAATATCTAAATCAAATGATGATTTAATAAATCATATCATTCATTGTTCATATATATATATATATATATTTGTTTCATTGATTTAATTAATTAATTCACTTCTAATGGTTTTCCAACTGGATAATCGATAGTTGTGTTAGAAGCTGTTTCGATTTTAATCTCGATTGATTTCATTTTATTCATTTTTTTAGTTTCTTCATTAATGTTGTTCAATCTTCCTTCCTCAGCAGCTTCCTGTCTGTTCGAACAAGTTGCTGAAGTATAATTTGTATTTTCTGTGATTATCATCGAACCTACAAAAAAAAAAAAAAGAAATAGAACAATTGTTTATTATGTAATAAACAAACTTTATTTTGAAATGAGTATTATCAAATTTTACTGTTATTCGTGTTCGTTGTTTCATCGTATTTGTAATTTTCAAGACTTGGCGTTTCAAATGCAACAATCGTAGGTTTTGTTCTCATGTATCGAACACTCTCAGCCAATGATTTATTTTGCGGACTCAAATAAGCTCTTCCTAAAACTTTCGTGCTTGCTCGGCTTATTTGAGACTCGTCAAAACTCTTTTCAGATTCTGATCTACCATAATCACGAAGTCTAAACATACATAAACATTAAAATCAAATCAAATTCAATAATCTTCAATGAAACATTAATTAAACTTGAAATTAATACTAACGCGATTAAACGTTGTTTGTTTTTATTTCTCGTTTGCATATCAGGCACAGAAAAGGATTTTTCCAATGGTATTTTACTCGCCAATAAAAATTGACGTAATTTAGGTTCTTCCGTCATTTTAATCATTTTCGGTGTACCTTCAAATAAAAAAAAAACCATATAATAATTTTTCCTTTAACATAAACTCATGAAACATCAAGCATCTGATATTTTTCATCTTACATTCGGGTGTTTTTAAAAATTTTCCACTATCGTTGATAGTCGAATTTGACGAGGATGAAGCTTTGACGTCATCAACAAAAACGAGATTGTCTATTCCACGTGAATCGGATAACGTGTACGAATCATCTCTATTTTTTTTTCCTATATTAACACCAAGAAATCTAAACAAAAATATAAAATAAATCAATTATAATTTAATTATAATCAAATACAATTTTTTTGTTACTCCTGTATGTAGGCAACACTTTATATACGTAATTATTAGCTCCTAACATTAGGCAATACTTTTTACACGTGTTCATTAGCCCCTGACATTAGGCAACACTTTATACACGAGACAAATGCTCCTTGCAATATGCAACACTTTATACACGAGACAAATACTCCTGGTAGTATGCAACACTTTATACACGAGACAAATGCTCCTTACAGTATGTAACACTTCATACACGAGACAAATGCTCCTTACAGTATGTAACACTTCATACACGAGACAAATGCCTTGCAGTATGCAACCCATTGATACACGACGTGTACAGCGTGTTGCCTGTCTGCAGGGGGACTTGAATAATTTCTTTAACATAATGAGCGCCACGTGAATTCTTAGGACAAATTTCTGTCAGGCCACAGGCGGTACTTTGCATTAAAAATATTTGACGGTGTCAGTCACTTATGACTGACGCGGCCTCAACGGAAAACCTGGCGTCAGTCACATATGACTGACGTGGCGCTTAACGTGTGAAACTTCCATTAACGACCGAGTATAAATTGTTGCCTATCGTTAAGGGGTAAATTGGTAGAATAAACTCACGATTTTTTACGAGTAAGATTAACGTTGTTACTGTTGGCATCATCGACGGATAAATCGTCACCACGATGAAGTTTCAAGTGTTCCCTTTCGAAATATAAGTAGACGGTATTGGTCCATCCACCTAGGGCTCTTATGTGAACCCATATGTAATCTGTCGAGAATAGAAATAGAGAGTAGGTCGATGAATATCATTTAAATATGAAATATAAATGATTTCTTTCATAATGCTAGATTGAAATTCTTATTGGGGACTCGTTTCTTTTGTATATTCGATGTTACCTTGAACTAGTTTTCAATTTCTTTCTTTGTTCTTTGTTAAACGAATATTCATCAATGTCACAGTTGAATAAAAATAAAAATAAAATGAAGTTAATGGTGTATATAAATTATAAATTAAATGAATTAAACAAATATTAATTAGTTAATAATTATGTTTGTTTAATGGCAATGAATTTTTGTGTTTCTAATGAAAATTAATAATATAATTTTATTTGTTTATAAAAAAGTTGTGGATCTAGGGAGAGATGTATTAAATAATAAATTGAAAATAAAAGAAAGAGTTTTGATGAATCACCTTTTAGTTCAGGTGCACTGCTGATGGTAAATGGATGCCATTCGTAACGTGCTATCACTGGTATATTAACGAAAACGTAATCACCAGGATGAAAGTCAAAATTGGGTGGTCGTTTGATCTCCAAATGAATCACTTTCGAAGGTAACAAGAGACCGGATTTTATATAAGTCTTTCCACGTTGCGAACGTAACCAAACGAGTCTTCTTATTCTTTCGAGAAGATAAATGGTACCTGGAACTATGAACCATTTCCAAAAATTTGGCCCATGGAATATCATTATTATCCAAAATGGTACATAAAGGAGGTGTGTCCAATAAAATATCTGTCAATAATGAAAATTTGTTTAAAAAAAAAAAAAAGAATTATCATAAAAATTAGGATTTGTGTGTGAATCAAAAGTTTGTAATAATTTTTATTTATTTAGTTTTGTGTTTACCTCGAAACAACCACCTCTTCTTACAAAAGGTAATGAACAGACGGTCATAATAATTAGTATGACGATTAGGGCAATACCAGTAGGGTTTGCACAACCTTCTACCAATCCAAATAATTTTGGTTTAGTTGTAAATAACCATTCGGCCATTGTGTAATTAGAATTGTTTAATTTCTCGTCATTTACAACAACGATACCTAAGATAATACAAAGTTATTATATTAAATAAAAATAATTAAAGTTATTAATTAAATTAGAAAAATGTGTTTGTATATTATATATATATATAAATATAAATATATTAATATTATTATATTATCAATTAGAATTATAATTTAATATAATTAAATATTATATTAAATATTATTTACCAAAATTAAGAAGATGCATAATAGTGTGAAAGAAACCAAAGATAATGATCAAAATTCCAGTCATCTTGTGAAGATAAATATGGTGATCCAATGGGAGTATTGATGAGAAACCATTGATACGTAAAAATGTAATACATTGGCGTAACATCAGAATGAGAACTAACGTACAATTAAAATTCAAGCATTGACCTGTAAAATAAAAATCAAAAAATTGACACAAGGTAAATATTTGTTTTATTTTTCAATATTAATCATCAACAATTTATTTACGTGTGTGTATATAAAAAATATATTTTAATTTTGATTATGATTAATATAATGTTTGAATAGAATGTTTACCACAAGCACGTGCCAGGATTACGTAAAAATTACTTTGACGATATTCGATGATTCTTTTAACAAATAGTATTAAATTAATGAATAATATAATACAAATAAATGTTATATATACGTAATTATTTTTAATATATGGCATAGTCAATTGATGGGGTTGCAACGATGATAAAAATCCACCAAATGATTTTTTTGTATCTTTCGGTTTTGGTGGGACCAACCAACGATCTATGCTGAAAACAAACATTATAATTATATTTTAAATTAACCTTAATTAACTATTTAATTAACTATTTAACACGTTCCGTGTCAAACCCCTGACACAACCCTGACACAACCCTTTGTTTCGTCAGAAAGAAAAACCTTCAAAAGGCTCCCTGGGCCCGTTACCCAGGGAAGTGTCGGATTCGACCCGCGAGCTGCCTACCGACTAAAAAACTTCCCGATTATAATTACTAACCCCTGACACAACCCTGACACAACCCTTTGTTTTGTCAGGAAGAAAAACCTTCAAAAGGCTCCCTGGGCCCGTTACCCAGGGAACTGTCGGATTCGACCCGTGAGACAACCCTGACACAACCTTGACGCAACCCTGACTTGTCACTCAGGCCATTTAATTTTGTTTCAACAAAATCATCCATTACATTTAATTATTAATTATTGTTAATACAACAATTAAACAAACTTATGTGCTTTGTTTTATACAGCATTATGTATATTTTAATAAGAATATATTTTTACAGAATTCAATTTGTTATAAAACACATAAAATGTTAAGTGTACCACCGGTGGTACACGTGACCTGAAAAACAAGTTTAATGTGTACCACCGGTGGTACACGTGACCTGAAAAACAAGTTTAATGTGTACCACCGGTGGTACACGTGACCTGAAAAACAAGTTTAATGTGTACCACCGGTGGTACACGTGGCACGGAACGTGTTAATGAACTATTTGATTGATTAGAGACACAACAAAACAAGTACAAACCTAATGGTTAAATTTTCTAAAAAACCGTCGTGCTTTTCCAATTGTTTTTTTAATCCTTCGAATGTGATTGCACCACGATTACAAGTATCTGCATCTTCGAAAAGTGCAATGGTTAATTCTTCGATTTGTTCATCACTAAATTTCATTCCATTTTCTTCCATGCATGCTCGCATCACGTGTTCCAATTCTCGATATTGTATAAAACCATCGTCTATTATGATTAATTATTAATAACAATTATTTCAAACGTTACCATGTATCCATAATTATGTAAATGGTTTACCGATAAGTCAATAAATTATAAATAAACAAATGAATTTATCACACGAGTTATGTCATATGAGTTACGTCACGTTATTTGTATTAATTGAAATTAATTCAATGTAATTTTTCAAATATTGTTTCAAATAAATCGTTGCAATAGTGTTTGTTATTTCAATATTATAAATAATTGAATTTATTTAATGTTCTAATAAAATTCTTTAACACATTGAGCGCCACGCGAATTCTTAAGGAAATTCTCGTCAGGCCACAGATGTTACTTTGTATTGAAAATAGTTGAACGTGTCAGTCACTCATGACTGACATGGCCTAAACGTAAAGTTTAGTGTCAGTCACTTGTGGCTGACGTGGCGCTCAACTTGTTAAATATTTGGAAACACAGGATTTATGATTTATGGTTAGACCATTTTCATAATTATGGGCACATATAATCATTATTATTTATAAAATTTTTCATGGGTGTTTACTATTGCAATTTATAAAATTTATTTATTTATCTTAATATATATATAAATTATGTGTCATGTTGTTTGTCCGCAATGGACTCCTAAACTACTGAACCGATTTTAATCAAATTTTGCACACTGTATGCAATTTTATCTAACTTGAAAGATAGGATAGTTTATATCGCAATTTATAATCGAAATTGACTTAAAGACGTGTGTATCAGACTGATTGTGAGCCACAGCAACGCATGGCGGGGCACCCCTCTAGTTATTTATATAAAATTTATTTAAAAAATAAAAAAAATTGAACTAACCATCGATATCGTATACCCTGAAAAGAAATTTGATTTTGTCGTCGGCAGATTTGCCAGAAAATTCATTCATAGCATCGATAAATTCTTGAAGCGATATCGTTCCTGAATTATCTTTGTCGAATATTTGAAAAACACGTTCGGTAAAAAATGGCTGCAAAATTACAAATTAATTCTTTTTTTGTTTTTTAAAAATATTTCTTCATTTAAATATGCTTACGTTCTTTGAAGTGACAATCTTTTTGAATTCCTCACGACTTATTTCCTTTTGATTGCCAACTGTTTGTTTAAAAATATTTTCCAACCATTCCAAGCTACGTTTGTCGAATCCACCACGTGGTCTGTCAAAATTCAATTCAAACACACAAATAAAAAAAATACAAAAGCACACACGCGCATCACACAAATAGAAAGAAAATCAAATCATTAGAATTGAAAATAATTCAGTAACAATTTTGATTTGATATTTTTTTTTTGTTCTAATCGAAAATTAAATTATTATAATTTAATTATTTAATTTTACCTTGGATTACTAACGTCATTGATAAATTCCATAATTTGTATTTTAGTTACGTATCCACAATTTTCTTGATCGATCAATCGAAAAAGTTTATCTACTACCTACAAAATTAATAATAATTATTATTATTTTTGTAAAAAATAATAATCGTAAAGTTTGGATGAGTGTATTAAAAAATTTGTGTTTACCCCTTTCGCGCAAAATAATTGAACAAAACTGGTCAAGTTCAATGGTTTATCAGCACACAATACAAATGCTACGCTTTCTATTTGATCGATGAAATCTTGTTGCTTTTCATTTCTGTATAATAATAATAATAATCAAAAAGAAACAAATATTTACATATGACAATTATAATTATTTCAATTGTAAGAATAATTAATAAACCCCTTACGTTAATCTACCCTTCATAAATTCAATCCATTCTTCCTGTTTCAATAATTCGTCACGATCTTGATCGAACAATCCAAATAATTTTTCTAACAAAATCTGCAATATAAAAATCAAATATAAACAAAATAAATTCATCCAAAAATATCCTCTGCCAAATATAAAAAAAAAAAAGAACTATGACGTTCGGTGACTCCACGTTGGTGCCATTCTCTATTTTGGTTATACAAGTAATGCACAGCACCATCCAGTCTCTAGTTCATATTTTTGCCACTAGAGTAAGCCACACCCCTGACAGAGATCCCAATACTACAAAACCACTCCTTATGAATACTAAATAAATGAAATATAAATAATAATGTTATACATATTGTTCTCTATTCTGGTTATACAAGTAATGTACAGCACCATCCAGTCTCTAGTTCATATTTTTGCC